ATATACACTATATAGGCGACTACATCTTTAATAGAACAAAAGATATACACGGTGTCCCATTTTAAATAACGCACTATAATATCTTCTTTGGGAAACACTTTGAAGAAAAACTTTTTAGACAAAAAGTTGTAGGGTTCTCACCTTGACACAAAGGTTAACCGTAGAGGTTATTTGAAGGTCAACTTGAATTTTTAGATACGATTTCCGATTGAGTCGTTGATTTAGACAAAGCAGGTAACTTTTGTTAAATTAAATAAAAATAAATAATGTCACCAAATAATTTTCTTACCTTTTATCGTTAAGATCCAGTTCCTCTGCGTTCCTGTACCACGTGATGTTCGGTTTGGGAACTCCCAGTACATCGCATGGCAAACTCATGGGTCCCCCATAATCCCCTAAGGTTTCCGGCTTCGCGTTACTAAACACCCTGGGCTTCTCCAACACCTTAACCTGCGCCGAAGCTGTGACAGTGGGGAAACCCCCTGATTTCAAATTCACATGGCATTCGTATTGCCCGCTGTGGGTGGTGTTAATAGAGGTTAGGATCAATGTGCGGTTCCACATGTCCTTGAAAGAGTAGCTGACGTCAGAACTTTCTATGGGGATGCCGTCCTTGAACCACAACGTTTCCAGCTCGTGCAGCGGCTGCGCGTTCGCTATGCACTCGATGATGGTTTCTCTTCCTTTTACCACTTGTACGTCTTCTGGTGGGATTATGATAGTGGGGGATATTTCTTTATTTTCGTCGGTGTCTTCTACTATCAGTTTTACTAACCCGCTGAGATCTTCCTTGCCTTCTTGGGAGTTTATAGCGCGAGCTCTGTCGGAAGAATTACAATTGTGGATTTTTACTCTATTGTAAGGAACTAAGGCTAATTCAACCAATTTCAAAAATTTTTCCTAAAAAAATCGTATCAAATGAAGTCAAAATATGTTCTTTGATAGGGCATCACGGATGCAGGCTGGAATTTGGATGGGTGGCCTAAGGCAGGCTCGGGGACGTGGCTGTGGCAGCCTACCAGAGACCTGGGTCGTCCAACGTTTGCCGCAGGCGTGTGGTCCCCGATAAATGGTAATGAGAACAGAGCAAGAAATCTCTGTAACTCAAGACCATGCTATCATACATAAACTGTACGAGACTTTGCCACCAAGCCACCCGTGTAGTAAATAGGATGGTTTGAAGAAAAAGTACTCGAGTAATGGAGGGTGTATAAGGGGCCTAATAAGGCCTAAGTGCCCCACACACACATACATACATACATACATACATACATACATACATACA